CTTTCATAATTCAGTCAATTGGCTGAATAAAGCTGAGATCGTCTCTGAGCTCCAGTCTGTCTGCAGCCCATCACTTCTGCCCCCCAGGTGATGGACGCTGTTAGCGGGTGGAGCTGCCCCCCCAGGTGATGGGCGCTGTTAGCGGGTGGAGCTGCCCCCCCAGGTGATGGGCGCTGTTAGCGGGTGGAGCTGCCCCCCCAGGTGATGGGTGCTGTTAGCGGGTGGAGCTGCCCCCCCAGGTGATGGGTGCTGTTAGCGGGTGGAGGTGGGTTCGGGTGGATACCTTCAGCCTGGCCTCCACAGACGCCTTCTTCCGGGCTTCTCTCCTCCGGTACTGCTCCACCTTATCCAGCTGGTCGGACCGCTGCAGCATGCCGGCCACCCGCTGCACCGCGGTGGCTACAGCCTCCCTGCTGGTCTCCTCCATGCTGCTCCTGGAGGAGAAAGAAGGAGTGGAGGTTAGCCTGAGCTGGGTGAAGAACCCGGAAGTAAGCAGCTGACAGCTGAGACAGGCTTCCGGCCTGTCAGAGCTATGCTAAGCTAACGGCTAAGCTAAGCGCAGAAAGCAGCAGGAAGCTGATCTCTGCAGCAACTAAAGGCTGCTTCACCTTCTGCTGCTTCACCTTCTGCTGCTGCTGCTGCTGTTGTTGTTGCTTCTCCTTTTTCTTCTTCTTCTTCTGCTTCTGTTGCTTCTTCTTCTTCTTCTTCTTGGCGAATCGCAGCCTCATGCCCACAGCGCCCCCTACTGCATATTACTGTAACTCTCCGCCTTTTCTGAAGTTTTAGTCTGGTTTTTAAATAAAAATAAGAACAATTGTCATTACTGATCAATCTTCCATGTTTTTTCCTGTCAGTGGGTCTTTATTCAGGCTGAGGAGCATCTGTGGATCAGATGATCCAGAATAGCTGCTGCAGGGGCGCTTCCAGGATCAGAGGTTCAGGGGGGGCTGAGCACCCAGAGAAAAATACATTTCACTGTTTCTACAGTCAGACATTTTTAAAACATCTTATCTCTGACGTTTGTTTTTTGTCTTTCTGTGTTTTTGTCTTTGTGGACCAGCTGTACGGAAACCTACCTGGCTTTTCCTGACCTGACACCTCGCTCCTCTCCTTCCCACTGCAAACCTCTCCCTCTTTGGACTTCCTAAAATGGATCATATTTAACAAGTTCTGCTTGAAAGTTTAAACACTTCTGATAAAGAAAAAGATAAATTCACAATATCCATCCATCCAATTATTTTCTGTCACACTTCAGTTTATTTCTATAGCTCCAATTCACATCATGTCATCTCAGGTCACTTTCCAGTTCACCAGATCATCCAGTCAGATTGATTCAAAGTTTTCTATCTAAGGAAAACCAGCTGATTGCATCGACTCATTGACTCTTCAGCAATCCCTCACACTAAGCATGCTTGTAGCGACAGTGGAGAGGAAAAACTCCCTTTGAACAGGAAGAAACCTCCAGCAGAACCAGGCTCAGTGTGAGCGGCCATCTGCTGAGGCTGGGTTAGAATAAATGCTTATTCTGTAGTGGGATAAAACACTTAGAGCCCGGGTTGACAGACAGAAGACTTTTACATTTTCGCGTCTCCAGACAGATTTGGTTTTTTTGTCCAATATGGCTCTTTGAGCAGTTCGGGTTTCTGACTCCTGATCTAAATGATTCCTAAATGTAACCTTTGGACACTTGATTAATACAACTATTCCTTATTTGTGCACATTATGTTTTTGATAATCTTTTCTAAAATGCCATCAGAACACTTATATTGTGTCCCCCCCCTTCAGTGTCCACCATATTGGATCAGTCCATTTGCTGCACATGTTCAGAAAGGTCCAAACAGACAGCAGCAAACCTGTTTTATGTCAATCTATGGGAGTATTTTTTTCCAGTAAAGTTAAAAAATAGTTTAAAACCAGAAAATGTTAATTTTACAATATCAGAGCAGCTGTGCTGCCTGGCTTTAAAATGCCCGTTTGCCCTTTTCCATTTTCAGTGAATCTCTTCCACTGCATTAGTTCCACCTGTGCTGGAACCGAGAACCAGCTTCTGCTATGACCGAAAAAAATGTGATTGACAGATGAGCGTTGATCTATGATTGGCCGAATTTAGGTGTTCAGGCTGAAGTGGAACTAACTGGCCTGCAGAACGAAAAAAAACACAGATTTTAATACACGATTTACTAACTTTTGGGACAATATGTTCTTTTAAAGAGTAGATTTATATTCATGTTTAATCCAGAATGATTTGATCTTTAAATACGATTTCCCTACGACTTTAAACAGAAACTCTTCTGTATTGATCATCTACAGAAGATGTGATATTAGCCGTTATTCTCATTCAGAGACGTACCGCTCTACTTTAGCATGACAAAAGCATCCACTGGAAAGATTAAACTTTTATTTAATTTATACTTAGAAAACACACATTCAAAAATGGTACAAACAGGTTCCATGAGGTTTGGTTGTTTTAAAACTGGCTGCTGTCTTGAAGCGAGTCAGTGATGTCGGGGGTTTCTTCCTCCTGCAAAAAGCAAACTGTTAAACTCGAGGTCAAACCGTCCCAAACCGTCCAGAGAGAAGAACCTTCACCTTTTGGTTTCCCTTCTCTGCAGTGTCCACTGTGAGCATCCTGCTGGGTAGACTGCCGATCTGCAGGAACAGAGAACAGCTGTACAGGACAAACCAAACCTCATCCGCTCTACAGGACAACGCGTCACCAACGGCACATTTACGCCATTTAACCCAGAGACTGGTTGCAGATGGTTCTGGGGGCCGAAGGGGCACAAAGGGAGTGTCCTCTTCAGACATCTCCCCAAAAGGAACCGGGCTAAGCAGGAAGGGTCCATCTAAGGTTTCTGTCTGGGTTCAGCTCAGATCCAGGTTTGCTGGATTAAAAGGGGGAAAGAAGAGTCCTCACCTTGAGCCGAGCTCCTCCAGTTCTTCTTCTTTGCGTGTCCATTTCTGCCATCGTTTGTTCTCCTGATATCTAAAAGAAAAGCAGGTGTTAAAAAAAAAAAGAAACCATTTTCCTGGGAAGCAAAGGTTGCAGATCTCCACCTGAGAATCTGTGAGGATGTCTGTGGTTGTTTTCCATTCCCGTTAGCAACTCCTTACAGAAACACCTGCTGTCGTATTCATTGCACTGGACCCCAAAGTCCACCAGCGCCCCCTTGGATGGCAAAGCTTCGGTGTTTTGGAGCATGGTCAGAGCGCCGTCCTCAGTGTCCGCCCCAGACTGGGAGGTCAGCTGGACGGCTGATGGGGCGGGCGTCTCTGATGCAGAACTTAGTTCTTCAGAGGAGGGAAGGCTGTTCTGCTGAAGCTCACCCAGGATGAGACATTTCTGGTTTGGGCTGCAACCGGCCTCAGGTTCAGAAGACCTCTTTTCATCTCCATCCTTCCCGGCGGGAGCAGGCGGAGCTTCAGCCAGCGGGCTGCAGGAAGACGAGCAGGTATCATTTTCTGAGGGAGTCTCGCTTTGACTCGGTTCTGACCCGACGGGTTCATGGACCTCTTCTTCAGGTCCCGTCCTTTTCTCCCTGCCAGGACTTTGCTCCTTCTCCTGGATACTGGAACACATGTTAAAGAATGAGCAGACCTTCCCCTCCAGGAGGTCCTTCCTGCTGCAGAGGCCTTCCTCAGTCATTTCACAGACGTCCGGTCCCAGCACGCCACTCTGCAGGAGCCACTCTCTGGAAGGGATGTAGGGAGGCAGCGACTCTACCGACCAAACGGACACGTTCAGCCTCTGCCTGGGCTTACAGCTGCCGGCCGACACGGCCACATCCGAGAGCTCCTGCAGATACGACCCAGCATCCGTTTCTTGCGCCTCAGTCGAGACGTTGTGGGAGGAGTTCTGTAGATGTTTGACCTCATCTCTGAAGGTCAACGAATGTCTTCGTAGAAAACCTTCTCCAGGCTCGTTACTCGTAGACTCCAGAAAGGCGTCTATTGTAGAATGAGGGAGTCGAAGGATCCTGAAGAGCCCCTCACTCACCTTCTGACTCTCCGTACCCCCAGTAGGACCAGTGCCTACCTCATTGGTATCTGTGGAACCACAGGATGAAGGCTGGACGTCATGTTTAGGAGATGGCTGCTTGTCAGACCCGTTTTTTTTCAGCAGGTGCGTTTGTGGCGCGCCGCCACCCCAGTTCATCAGGGTGTTAGGAACGACCGGCCGTTCTTTGAGGAAAACATCGTCTTTCTGAGAGGAGCTTGAGACTGGAGCTGCCCTGACTGGAGAACTGGATAACCATAGATCCCCATCTTTGGAGAACGAGTCTGGGAGGTGGTCCTGGTCAGGTACGTCCTTCCTGGGCCGCTCTGGCCCAGTGCTACCACATTGCTGACTAGCATTTGATCCAACAGGTTGTTTTGGAAAGCCCGTTGGGTCTGAGAGTTCTGTGCCTTCTCTGTAGGGCGACTTGCCCTCCCCCCCCTCAGGAGAGTTCGAACAGGTTCCCCTCCCAGAGTCTGAGCCCAAATGAAAGCTACCTCTGACGCCATGCACTGGCTCTGTCTGGACCTCAGAATTCACCATTTCTCTCACAGGGCGGGCGTGAGTGGGGCGAATCCTGCGTGTCTGAACTGGGTTTGGATGTGATGGACCTTGAGTGTGAGCCAGGGGGTGGGGCAGACGCCTGTAGTCCACCGGGTGAACAGGGGGGGGTGGTAAAATATATCCCCCACCATCCATGTAAGGGGGAGGGGGGAATGGGGGCGGAGGGACAATCATACCATAGCCTAGGAGACAAAATGGAGTTAATCAGGAGAAGACGAGTCTAACCTCTGATCACAGCAGAACTTACCCAGTCCTGGAAACCCAGCAAAGGGGCTGTAGGAGAAGGGCATGGACCACGGGTAGTGGAATAAAGGAGGGGGCGGGGGGGGCACATAGACGACGGGACGGCCAAACATGGGATGTTGGGGATGTGAAGCAAATCCTGGTTCCTGAGCAGCACCGAGTGGACCCGGTTCATGCTGCCCTGAAGACGGAGCGCCTCCATTTGGGTTCCTGCCTACTGGCTCTGGATGAGCTGCTCTGTTAACGGCTGCCATGGTAACACTGGAGGGGTGGGGGGGCGAGTTAGACAGCCCTGCTGGACCCGATGACGAGCAGAACCTGGTCCAGAAAACTTCAGTACTTCAAGCTGAAAACACAGGAGGAAAAAAAGGATAATCAGCTGGTTCAGAAAAAAAAAACATTTAGCAAACATAGATTTTATATATGAGCAACTAATTTCCTGTTCTGATGGCATCAGTTGGAAGTTTAAGTCAAACTATTATTCAAAATCAGAAAAGCAACACATTAATCAATAAAGTGTTAAGCTCACAGCCTTTCATGCACACACCTGAGGGATTAATCAGCTGTTGGACATTTCATCGTCTTCAGATGAATGAAAGACAAACAGGAACCAGCAACGCTAAATAAACTACAGCAGGTTAAAAACTAAAGGAAACATCTGTTTTCCTCACTGGAAGTCAGAAGGAAGCAGTTCCACCAGCAGATAACACATCCAGACATCACACCTGGAAACCAGTCACCTCATCAGCATCTCTGTAATGAGCTGCAGCTGATGAGGTTGGAAGCAAGCAGACAGCTGCCTGTAATTCTGCAATCCCAACACCAGATGGCGCCGCTGCAAATAAGATGAGCAGGCATGTAGCAGGTAAAGCGCCATCTTCTGTGGAAACCAACTTCTGCTGAAATGGAAGAGGAGCTGAAGCTTCTGAGCTGAAGCTCAGCTGCAGGTTCACAGCAAAACTCTGACATAGTGGGGGCCGGGTGCTCTAATGGGGGCCACTGTCTGCTCCCCACAGGTACAAAAGCTGTGTTAGGGTTAGGTGTTAGGCAGGGGCGGATTTAGGAAATGTGGGGCCCTAGGCAAAGACAGGCAGGGGGCCCCTCTGAATGGAGAAGACAACACATAAACAGCCCCATTCTCCAGATAGAGAAATGTTAATAGTTCATGCCCATCCACCAAGAACACAGAGAGCCTCCTGATGTCATCATTCACCAGAATCAGTATTGCTAACTCTGCTCTTTGGACTCTATATAAGCTACTGGAAACATAAATGAATAAAGTTGAGTCTAAGTCTAAGACAGGTTTATGGTTAGTTTCATCAACAGATTTCCAAATGGCCAAAAACCGACGGACCAAGGAGGGGAGACATCTTGGTAAATGTTAGCTAAGTGTGTTGACGCCTGTCTGTGTCTGATAACGGCCGTCTGCAGCCTGATAACAGACCAACCCGCCCACTGATCCAGACCACCTCAGCCTGAGGTCATCAGACTCTCTAAGCTCTCTGCTTCATTCAGGCTGGGCTACAAAACAATAATCATTTATTTACTTTATTTTCAATTTTCCCTCATAAATTTACCATTTTATTTTAAATGTTTCTATTATTGCTTTTATATATCTGCATGTTAACATTTGCCTGAGTTTATCTAATTTATTCTATTCTAATTCTATCTACTCTATTCTTAAACTCAGACAGATTTTATTTGTCATTTTGTTTCCACAAATGTCAACAAAAAAATCTATTTTTTGTTTGGAAAAAGCTCTCTGGACAATTTCATCTTTTTTTTAAAGTGCAGCCTTGAAAAGTAGTAAAAAAAAATTAAATAAAAACAGTAATATAAACATATGACTGTAAATTTACAGTTCTAACATTTAAAAAAAAATAATGATAAAATATAATAAATAAAATACAATAACCCATCTTATCCATCAGTTCATCAGTGTGATGGCGGTGGGGAAGAAGCTGCTGCAGAACCTGCTGGTCCTGCATTGAATGCTGGGAAGCCTCTTCCCAGAGGGCAGCATGGTGGGGGGGTGAGGGGTCATTGATGATGTCACGGGACACGCAGCGCTGGGAGGAAATGTCTTTAATGGAGGGAAGAGGAGCCCCCATGATCCTCTCTGCTGTTCTCACCTTCTTCCAGTCTGAGGCGCTGCAGCACAGCGGCTGTTTTACACATGTAGAGCTAGAAGTTTTAGATGTTTTAGATTTTAATCTGCTTCAGATTATTGCAGTTTAGCTAAAGCCTGTAAATCAGCAATCAATGAAAATCAGCTGGATGAGAGCAGGGGGATTTTCTGTCAGACCAGCATACCTATAGTCAAGATGTCAGATTTGCGTTTATACCTTTAGTTTTGTACGAAAAACAAACTTTAAACTACCTCAACAGGCGTGTATCGCTTTAGTCATGTACAAAAAGAACAATTCAAGGTCAGATCGCCATACACTTAAAAAAAAACACTAAAAGTAAGTAATTAAGTAGTTTTTTTTGTGCATGACTAAAGGGATAAACGCCCTTTGAGGTAATTTAAAGTCTATTTTTTTTAACAAAACTAAAGTCATAAACTGGTATATTCTATGGGTATGCTGGTCTGACAGAACATCGGCTGACTGTTTGTTTGCTTATGGGACAGCGCTGTGGCACTAGCGCCCCTAGTGGCCAAAGTGCCTTCACTCGGCTGCTTTTCTAAATGCTGTTTACTAAATATGCAAATGAGGAACTTATTTATATCTCTAGAAGTGCATTTGACCGAATAGAGCGTCCATACATGTTCACACAGATAGAAATAGGTTTGGTTTTCCTTTATAAAGTAGATGGAGCTAATCTGCTAATGTAACAGTCTCCATTATCACTAATTAAAATAAATTAAACCCATTAGTGATATATTACTCGTCAGGGAGGTTCTTTATCTCTATTTTCTATTGTTATTAGCAGGAAGTTGAATGATTTATTCTCAGTATAAATCATCTAATTCTTTATAGATAATGAACATCTGTTCATATCCTGAAGCATCTAGACCTCCCTACGTCCATCTGGACTGATCAGGTTAAAGAATGAAACCATGAGAGGAAACAGAACAGAACAAAGGCTTTTATTTCCAGAGCATCAGGATACCAGATATTATATTCCAGACTTTATCAAACTGGTTTAAAGATGGCGGCGATTAAAAAGGTGATCTAATGAGTTTGATGTGATTTTCTAACATCTGAGAGAAAACGAACCAGATGGAGCTGAACTAAACGGACTGCAGGGACCAGAGGAGCCACAGAGAAACCAAGTAGAGTTAAGAAGCTGGCATAGAAAACATAAACTAGAGAGCTACGGCATCGCTGCTTTGGAGGATAAATAAGGTTTATTTGAAGGAGGATAAATGAGGTTTATTTGAAGGAGGATAAATGAGGTTTATTTGAAGGAGGATAAATGAGGTTTATTTGAAGGAGGATAAATGAGGTTTATTTGAAGGAGGCTCGGACTCGGCGGCCCTTGAGGAGCTGAGGAGGACGGAAGTTATCAACCATGCAGGCTGCAGCTTCTCCTTCTCCAGAGAACAGGAGGCTCCGGAACTTGGTCATCTGGAAGGAGGAGAGAAGAAGGTCAGCCATGATGATCCGTCTACTGGGACCCTTTACTGGTCTACTGGGGCCCTTTACTGGTCTACTGGGCCTCCTACTGGTCTACTGAGCCCCTTTACTGGTGTGTGAATGGTGTGAATGCAGTGTGACACATAGTGTAGAAATATAGCAGCCAGAGTCTGAACCCAAATCAAATTTCCTTTGGGACAATAAAGTTAATCTCATCTAATCTGAGATTCACATGGAAAATAATAGAATATAGTCGACTTTTTCTGGATGTTTGTTCATCTGCAAAGTTGTTCTAAAATAAGCGCATTCTCAGAAAATAACTAGTTTTTATATATTAAAAAATATAAAGGTGACTAATACACATGAAATGATGTTTAGTTTTTATAAAGTGTTTTATAATGTTTTTGTTGTTGGCATTCATATAAATATACTGCTGTGATAACTTAGTGTGCGTTTGATTGGGTTTTGGTCTACGTCCATTTTGAAGTTATAGCGCCCCCTGGAGAAAACTCCACCAGCTGCCGCTTGTAATATGATAAAAACAGAAGTTGTAGTTAAAGGTGAAGCATAGGGAAAGTCAGGTAGGCTAGTGTATTGATGGATGATGTAATAAATAAAAAGTTTTAGCCCGAGGTAAACATTGAAAGCTAAACTGCTTTAAACACAAACAGCCTCGCTGTCTTTGTTTACTGACGCAGCAGCTAACCGGTCAGACTGTCACACAATGATTAACTGTATGCTGATCATTACAGGCTGATCCGCAAACATGGCTGCTGGAAGAAGGGGTCTGGGGGTGCTGCAGCACCGCCTAGTGGCAACAAGATGTTTTTAAAATGTATTAAAAGTTCTTTGCACAATTTATACATTTGTGAAAAGTATTTAGCCTTTTTTTATTTTACTATTACGTGTATTCGAATTTGAATTTATTTATTTTGAGCCCTAATCAACACAAGTTCATGGTCAGATTACCATAACTTTATATATTGTTACTGTGTGCAAATGTAACAGAAGTCGTTTAAATGGGGTATGCTGGTCTGATGGGGTATGCTGGTCTGATGGGGTATGTTGGTCTGATGGGGTATGCTGGTCTGATGGGGTATGCTGGTCTGATGTGGTATGTTGGTCTGATGGGGTATGCTGGTCTGATGGGGTATGCTGGTCTGACAGAACAGACGTCCCTCCAATCTCCTTGAGCTTCTCTCAGCTCCTGACGGTCAGTTTCGCCATGAAGCAGAACCTAAATGAGATGTTCTCCTGACTGACTGGTCAGCCTTACTGGACCCAGACTAAAGGAGGTAGACCACCTGCATGTTCTGGTGAGCTGAGTCAGTCTGACCTCCATGTGCTGTTTTGGGGGGGTTCTCACCTGTGCAGGGCTGACACTTATTGGCTCCCTGAGAACAATCCAGGTGACGCTCTCCAACAGGGGTGGGGTGGTCAAAGAGCCCTCATAAGTCCAGTAATCCAGGGAAGCAGGAAGGAGAGTTCTTGCATCAAAGTTGGAGAAGGTGGTCTGCTTCCCCTGTAGGTCCGGTCAGGAAAGAGGGAGACGTACGGCCGATCAGTACAGGAGCAACTGGCAACACGTCCCTCCCACCATGTCGGGCGGTTTACCTTGGTCTTAATGGCGTCCAAAGCATCCAGAACCTTCTGGAGGCGGGGGTTGGCTGCACCGATCTGATGGAAACACGGAGCTTATTCAGCTTCTTCAGCTAGCACCTTCTGCTCTGGATGAAGCAGCTCTTACCTTCAGGAAGATCCCCACCACAGCCAGTCCGTCGGGCTTATCGGCCGCCTCCCCGAAGCTGGGGTACTTGGTGTTCCAGTGGACCAGGTGGAGCTGAAGAAGAAGAAGGCACAGGTGTTCATGGCGTGGTCAGGATGAGAGGAAAGCTCTGTTCCAGCGTTACCGCGGTTACCTCACAGGGGAACCTGATGCCGTTGATGGTGTGCTCAGAGCCTCGGTCGTCTCTGCCCCCCCAGTGGAAATGGAACTGCTTCAGACGGTAGGTTCCAGGGACGGGGCCTCCAGTCAGCGCTGAGAAACACAAACACTTCCTGAACACCAACCAGAAGACATTCTAAAGGCGTTTTAACCAGCCGGGGGGGGGGGGGGGGGGAACCTGCCGACACCTCGTTTAGTTCAGCAAAAACCTCAAAGAGCAGATCGTAGCTTAGAGACTAACTTTTATCACTGTTTATAAAAGTATGGGAGCTAAAATCTACTTTTAATAAACCATTTAGGCTTTTGGGTTGTTTTTATGACAAAACATTAATTTAATATCTGAAACAGATCATTGTGGGTCAGTCTGATCCTGACAGCAGAAAACTTTAAGTTTTAAGGCTAGGCTTAAAACTTTCCTTTTTGATAAAGCTTATAGTTAGATAGATGCAAAAGAATCTTTCTTCTCTGAGATTATCAACAAAAACATAAACTATGCTCACTCCTTAATATTTAGACAGGGGCCAGTGGGGGCCAATGGGGGCCAATGGGGGCCAGTGCCCTTGTAGATCATGTCCTGGCCCCCATTGGCCCCTGTTTAGAACCGCCCATGCTTTATAGGGCAAGTTAGCGTTTCTGATGCACCCCCCTTACAAATAGAGTCCCCCACCCCTCAGTGAGATCTAGAAGCAGAACATCTATATCCAGCCATTCAGTAAAGATCCTGCTGCATGGCTGCACATCTGACATATGAGCCTTGAATGATAGATTATCTACTGGAAATTAAGTTGTAAAAAAGTTAACAAGTAAAGAAAAGAAGTTAATAAGTCTAGTTAACATTAGATTTAGGTTTATAAACTAAAAAATGTCAGTTTCAGTATCAGCATTAATGCCTCTAAGGTTATGATGGACCAATAAAATGTCTTTCTTTCAATCTCAGTGTGTTTTTCATGAAGAAGAACTTTTGTTATTTTTCTTAATATATTGTTGAAAGTTGGTGTTTCTGGTTATTATATTGACATTAATTTTTAACCTTTAAAATATCCATATTTTTCTAATGTTTCAAAGGTAATAAGGACTTGTCCTGGATTCCAGTAACACTATTGGCTGGAAATGTTAAAGTATTTCACTATAAAGGGTTAAATAAACTATGATGAACCGCCGCAGCAGTATGTTGGTTTATAGGAGGTATTTATCTGCAGCAGCAACGGCGCGGCGGTGAAGGGCTGAACCTGCATACTGAGCTGCAGATAGCAGATAAGGCGGCGTTTCCATCAGGCTTATCTGAGGGCATCCAGGATGGGTGGAGGCATCAGCCCCCGTCCTACAGCTACACCCATAAGAATCATGAGAATAAAGGCAGAGATGTTTTGCCAATAAAAGAATAAAATAATGAAACGGATGAAATTGAGATGCTGATGTCATCATTATCAGTGTTTAAAGTATGGGTCCATGAAGCCAAACCATCAGAACCAGCAGGGGGGTCAGTGCGGCTTACTGGAGCTGTCCGTGTCGTCCACAAAGTCCACCTGGAAGGAGTGTCCGTTGTTCAGGATGCCCTTGGCGTTGGACGGGTCGTACTGGAGCTTCAGACGCTTCAGCGACGGGTCATACTGGGCCTCCTTGGTCACTATGTCGATGGGGGACTGCCGGGGGCCGTTAGCCAGCGGGTATTCCTCCCCCCAGGTGTCGGGTCCTACCGGGGGAGCAGAGGGGACTCATTCAGACTTCTACATGTAGATCAGGCAGCATAGAGCCAGAGATGCAGGAACCTGCAGCTGACAGAGCTTCTCCTTAAGAACCCAGCTCTAACGGAGCAGCAGGGACAGAAACAGGGGCCCCTGGGTTCTGTCAGGGGCCCCTGTCTCCCAGTGGCCTGTGGCCCCCAGCTGCCTGTGGCCCCCAGAGGCCTGTGTCCCCACTGATGTGCGGGGCTCCTTACCGTTGCCCGGTCCGTATCCCCATCCGTGAGCCATGGCTGCTGCTGCTGAGGCCGATGATCGGTGCTCTGCAGGAGGGACAGACGGCCGTCCTCTTATTGGGGGGGGGGCTCCTCCTCTCCTCTGCTCCTCCTCTGCTCCTCCTCTGCTCCTCCTCTGCTCCTCCTCTGCTCCTCCTCTGCTCCTCTTTGCTGTTTTGCTCCGAGGTGCTTTGCTTCAGTTTAACCGTGAAACATTAAAACTCGTCTGGATGAGCGTCTTCAGGAAAATCATTTAGAAATTAATTTCTGTTAATTATCAGGATCTTCTGCTTCCAGCTGATAATAACATTATAGAAATATTGTGTCTTGATAAAACAGATGTTTAATATATAACTAAATATTGCTTTTCTTATTTAACTGATTAGTTTAATTAAGGTAAATTAGAATGATCTCCAAACTAAGAAATCGTTCGCAACTTAACAAAGAACAACACTAATGATTAGTTTCTTTATTATTCAATTAAAAAATGGCTGCTTCAATCAATCAATATTTGCAATTAGAAACACCTTCACTTCACTGCAGGAGAAAAACACTTTGGAATGCAAAAAATATAAAGGAGACTAAACGACTCCATTTGAACACTTTTATTTGATAAAAGTCAAGTTTTAGGTTTAAAGCAACTTTTTAAAATTAAAGTAACATTGTTTTTTAATTGGACCGTATAATAGTTAGGAAATTCTTTATTATTCAAGCTAAAATGAAGCTTCAAACAAACAACAATATCAATAAAAAAGTCACTTAAATGAAAAGATTAACGCTTTCAATCATAGAAAATAGATTTTCAATCCAAATAAAATATTAAAATATTATAATATTTAAAATGTTCTCTTTGATCAAAGTAATCTTTTGTTTGGGGCTTCAGAATCAGAATCAGGATCAGAATCAGAATCAGAATCAGGATCAGAATCAGGATCAGAATCAGAATCAGAATCAGGATCAGGATCAGAATCAGGATCAGAATCAGAATCAGAATCAGGATCAGGATCAGAATCAGGATCAGAATAAGGATCAGGATCAGAATCAGAATAAGGATCAGAATCA